GAATTTGGTCTCCAGTACTGTGGTATGACTCATCAGAGGAGTTTCTAAAGCATTTATTTTTTAAGTTTACCTTGGAAATCACTTCCACCCAATACTGCTTCACTATATGTTTGTGGCCATTTGATGGACTGTCACAACCCATTAGGATGGGTAGGGAGAACATGTGGGCTAAGTGCAGTGGCCCAAGCCTATAATCACAGAGACTAGGGGGGCTGAGATGGGCCATATGGATAAGGAAGCCCAATAAAGGATCACAAATTTAAGGCCACCTGGGCAACTTAGCAATACCTTATTTCAAGAACAGAAATAAAAAGAGATGGGGGTGTTGCTCAATGGTGCAGTCTCCGCTAGGTTCAATGCTGGTACCTAAAAAAAAAGAAAGAAACCATGTGGACCTGGCAATTGCTAGGAGACAGAGATCCCAATGTCACCAGGCACAAAAAAGCTTGTACATAAAGGTCGTTGTTTGGGGGCATAGAGAAATTGACCCTAAAAAAACTCATCTCTTGAATTTTTAGCTGTACAATCATTAAGACAAAGTTCTAGGATCCCTGAGGAATTGGGAGGGCTGTAGATGCTTGCTTTTGAATTCATTAGCTGCATCAATTTCTCCCTTCAAATGTGATTTTCTGAGCAATTACCTTAAATGCTCATTCCTCTCATGAAATTTTATTTGCTATCCTCGTCTCACGTCTTTCATTTATTCTTTTCTCATTTGCCCAGTGGTTTAAATATTGGCCTTTACAGTCAGACATCAGGCATTGTTGCTGTGTCCTAGCTGAGTCTAGGGTAAAGAAATTGTACTCCTTGCACCTCCAGTTTCTCAGTTGTAAAGAGGGGGGAACATGGGTCCTGACTTCACAGTGTTATTGTGAAGCTTAAAGTATGTAGAGTAGTCCAAAGTGCATGCCATGTGGATAAGGAAACCCAATGTAAATGGCTGCAATTATTATTTCAAGTTCTGTTTGCTATTTTTTTGTCAATTATACCAATAGTTAGAAAAAACTTTGGAAAACATGAGGGAAATGACCAACAATGGTTCTATTAGCCAAAACAAATATTTCTATCATTGTTACCATTCTAATCTTTTTAAAAATATTTTTGAATTCTAAGATAGACCATTATTTATTTATTGATTGGTCTATTAATGAATATTTGGGTGATTTCAATTTTTTTCTGTTAATAGTATTTCTGCAATACCAGTATATTGCACTATTTTATTTCTGAATATTTGGATTGTTTCTATAGGTTATGCTTCTAGAAGTAGAATCACTAAGTCAAAGGATAGAAACTTTTCATGGCTCTTAATACATATTATGGATTGTTTTACTGAAAGGATTATTCCAATTTGCAATGCCACCAGCAATAGATTATTTTAAATAGCTTCTTTTGATAAGAAAGGGATTTTTTGTTTCTTAAATGTTTTAAATGATCTAATACTAAAGGCACTATGGCTTGAAATACTATATTGCATTTAGCCCTCTGATAATTTCTTGTTTTCCTCTTGGATCATTTGTCCATTTAGTCTGTTTGTGATTGAGACCACTAGTTGGCGCCCTTATTCATTCTCCTCTTTCTCCTTGAGAGTTGAATTTTTGACTTTTATCTTGGATATATCCAGCTAGAGTAAAGACTATGGATGTTTCTAAAAACAAAACAAAACAAAACAAAAACAAAAACAAAAACAACACTGAAAATACAACTGTGATATGATCCATTTATAGCACTCCTGAGTGTATACCCAAAGGAAATGAAACCAGCATATAAAAGAAACTCCTGCATACCTATCTTTATTGTGGCACTGTCACAATAGCCAAGTTATGGGATCAGCCTGGGTGCCTGTCAACAGATGAATGGATAAAGAATATATGGTATATAAATATGGTGGAACCTTAATGAACCATAAAGAAGAGTGAAAAATCACATCATTTGCAGGAAAAATGGATGAAACTCTAGTTCGTCATGTCAAGCAAAATAAACCAGTCATAGACACAGAAGGACAAATATTGTATTTTCCTTCATATATGGAAACTAACAAAAAGATGACATGAAAATAGAAAAGGGGCTACCAGGGAAGAGGAAGAGGAACACAGAGAATGGGGAAGGTGGGATAGAAGTGAGGGTGGATAGGATTGAACCTTGATATATTCATGTGTAGAAATATCAAAGTGAGATCCGTTAATTTGTACAATAAATATGAGTTAATATTTTCTTTTTAAGAAGACTGTACTTTCTAGCTTCCTTTGCACCCCTGTGTGGCCAAGTGAATACATTTTGGTGAATGGAATA